ATCCCCTCGTTTTTGGTGGCTCTCGCTAAGCCCACCTAGCGAAGGATTTAGTCGGCACGAGTCCGGCTTAATCCCATTAAACACAATCCCAATTTACACCAAACACAGGACTACTGATTCTAGCTTAGTAGTCCAGTCCAGTGAAACTTAAGCCGGCCAAACAAACGTGCCCTAAGAGATGTAAATATGATCATTCATCATTTTATGAATAAAGTTGGTATGAAAACTTGTAGCTTGCCGGATTCTTTTTGTGAAGATTTTGAAAATCTGTGAATTATATCCGTTCATTGTACATCATGCAATCAGAAATTATTTTAAATATTTTTATTTAAAATTAAATACAAACAGTAACTGATAAAAACTGACCGTATAATGTATAATGAATGAACACGATTTACAGATTCCCAAGATTATCACCAAAAAAATCCGGAGAAGATTCTGTTGGCTAGTAAAAACGGAGAATGATTCTCTTCCCTCCTATTTTCATCCTCTTCCCCCCTTCCTCTCACATATTGTTTTTTGTCTTATTGTCTCTATAAAAAAAAATCAATATAAGATATTAACATGGCTAAACTATAACCATTCAAATAGAAGGGAAATGAACGGAAGAAAGATTAGGAAGGTATAGAACCCACCTCCCGTAAAAGCATACCCAAAAAGAAAACACCCAACATATGTGATTGTGGAAAAACCGAAAAAAAGTTCTTAGTGACATGTCGAAGCTAGTGCTGTTGCTTAACGTGACAGGGCTGTCACAGCTGAGGAAAGACGGCCGCCCATCTACACATGGCAATGGAGCCCGCCGTAGACTGGACTGCAGCCACTGGTGCCTCCCTGGAGTTCTTGACACTTGGAACAAACTACTGTACACTGAGTTCATTCGAAATTCCTATAAACTCTTATATTACATGAAACTGTTTTACCGTCATGTGACATCTCGGTCTCATAATATATTATCATGTAAAGAAAAACTTATACATGATAATACAGTATTGGATAAAAGATACCACGTGATAAGAAATCTGTTTCATGTAAGTTAGGCAATACGAATTGAATTATCTAAATGACAATACAAGTAGATTATAATATCTGACAAACAAATATCATACCAATCAACTTCCATATACGTTCAAGAATGTAGTTTTCTTTTCTAATCATGTAAAGTTAAACAATTATTGGAGAATGAAAAAATACAAAATCTTGAATTTTTCTCTATATTAGGTTTTCCTTCTATCCCTATTTGATTTTCTTTTTTGTGTCCTCTCTAAATAAGTTTCAATCTAATCCGTCTTTTTCGAGATAGTTTCGTTATTGACAAAGAGAGATTTTAAACCACTTTATCTACGGAAAAAAAATCGAATTTTGATGCAAGAATGCTAGCATGCTGCTCATTAGCAAGTGTCGAATCAACTCTTAAAAAGAAAATTCTAAACTCATAGACTATAATTAACAGAGTTGGAGTTTGAAAACTACGTACGGACCTAATCAAGTTAATTAAAGCAATTTATTTTCTCTCACTTAAGTTTGAATTTCCTGTTTAGTAGTTTAGATTATATTGTAAATCTCTTTGAACAAAGGAGTTTCATAAAAAATACCAGCAATCGACTCCTCTTCTGCTTGTTCACTTCGAATAATGCAAAAATTCAACAATTCTATGCGAATTCCTTTTTTTTTTTCCCTTCATGTTTTTACTGGGACAACTTATTTTTTCCCTAAAAAAACGATTATTTTTAATAAATGAATGTATCATAAAGAGTTGTGCTATGAAAGATTTCACAGCTTTTCCAATAATAATAAAAAAAAAGATTTCACAGCTTTATCTGTAGGTGGTGCAACTCAAACTCAAACTACGAGAATTTTTTTTTAGAATTGATTGACTCGAGCAACTCTTTAAATAGAATTATTGTGAAATCGAATCCTACTAAAATATGTAAGGTCATATTTTTGTGAAAAAGTTCCTTACGAATTACTGGTCGGACAACTCTCTTCAACACGTGGCACTGGTGGCTCCATACTGGAAGGAAACAACCGTGAGATATGATCTTGCTTTTAGTGGTTTAAATCGTATAACTTCAGCGATAGAGCGCTTATTTATGTGAATGAGAAATATTAGGACTTAAATATGTATAAAAGCATATGGTAGGGTAAGCTTTTGTTGGCATGTCATGCAGGTGGGATTTTGTTCAAGATAGAAAAACTTTATATCATGACGTGGATCGTCTTGTTGCTTATTTTTTTTTTTTGACATCAGGCATTAAATTTAGGGGAGGGGGGAATCGAACTTGGGTGAGGTAGGAGTTTCCTTGGCCCTAGTGCCACTGCAGCTAGGCCTTGTCCTCATCGTCTTGTTGCTTATTAGAAAGCGTTAAAAATTTGGACACATTGAATGGACAAATTGTTGATACTGAGAAAACCAAAGTATTCTTACAAAGTATTTCAATGAGTCATTAAAAGTAAGTTTAAATCCGTTAAACATTAGTCCCACATATTGATAACTTTTGAGCTATACAAGGAGAAAACCCTCCCATCTATCAAAAGGGTATTAGGTCCTTTTGTTTATGAAATTGGAATTTAGATTCTCCTTCAAAATTAAACAATAATTGTTGGGTCGATATATATGTCAAAAGTAATGCACTACTCACCAATATTACATTATTCATTGTGCATGATCGATGTGACAGTCTATCATTTATCTAGACTCGCTTTTGAACCTTATTTATTTGAGTAAACTGTCGATTTACCTCCTAAACTTTCATCTAGTTTTCGATTCCCCCTTGAACTTTTCGATTGGAAAATTAAGGACTCAAACTAATTTTTTTTAGCCAATTTGCCTCCTACCGTTAGTTTTTCAAACATTCCATCTATATTTCTGTTAAGTGAGATCATGTTCACAACATGTGAAGGTAGTTAAGTCATTTCACTCTTAAAAATGATTAAAAAACTGAAAAAAAAAATTTAAGAAAAAAAAAACATTCCCTCTATTTTTCCCTCTAATTCCTATCCTCAATTTTATTTTTCACTTATTCTTATGCATGAGAAATGACATATGGTATTCAAAAGTATCTAAGTTAGTCTTTTTCTTGAAGCATGTATTGCCATTTTTATTTTCTTTAACAAATTAATAATTTGACAAATGTTCATGGTGTTATTGTCTCCAAAGCAGTGCATTAATATAAGCATGTTACGTGTTGTGCTTCATTTTAGAGACATTAAGACTTTACTAGTAGAAGAGTTAGAATAGTTATAAAATAGTTTCTAGCAGTTAACATGTCCATCATCTAGTAAAAACTACAATAAGTCAAAGAAAAAAAAACTACTCCAATCACTAGCATCAAAACTCCAAGGATCGGCTAACTGCACTAATCCTAACTATTCCTCCAATTTTCTAGCAATAGTATCCAACACAAAAAAAAAGTATATCATACCCACGCAGTTCCACAAAGCTTTGCTTGCCTCCTCAAAGTACAATGTTTTCAAATAATAAATTAATTACTATAAAAGAGAAGAAAGTGCACAACTCAACCTAGAATCAAATGATGGATATTTCAACTGCATTGTTGCACATTTAACACCATGAGCATTTATCAAATTATTAATTTGTTAGAGAAAATAAAAATGGTAGTACATGCTTCAAGAAAAAGACCAACTTAGATACTTTTGAAGACAATAACATCGTATGTCATTTCTCATGCATAGGAATGAGTGAAAAATAAAATTAAGGATAGGAATTAGAGGCAAAAAATAGAGGGAAAGTTTTTTTTTTAAATTTATTTTCAGTTTTTTAATCATTTTTAAGAGTAAAATGACTAACTACCCTAACATGTTGTACACATGGTCTCACTTAACAGAAATATGGATGAAATGTTTGAAAAACTAACGGTAGGGGGCAAATTGGCTAAAAAAATTAGTTTGAGTCCTTAATTTTCCAATCGAAAAGTCCAGGGGAGAAATCGAAAGCTAGGTGAAAGTTTAGGGGGCAAATTGACAGTTTACTCAATTTATTTATAACAAATAAGATGTTAATGTTGAGAGTTGTCCTACATCGGTAAGGGACAAGGTTTGCTATGTGCTTATATGATCTTGGGCTACTTCTCATATTGTCAATTGGTTTTATGGTGGAATCTCAATTTCATCATGGTATCAAAGCGGGTTGTCCTCGTGTGAAGCCAAACGGCCACACGCGCTCCACGTCACCTAGTTATTGTCCACGTGTAGACTTGAAAATCCGTCACACGTGCAGGAGCGTGTTGAGAGTTGTCCCACAGCCGCCCATCTACTTATGGCAATAGAGCCCGCCGTGGCATGAACTACAGCCACTCGTGCCTCCCTGGAGTTCTGGACACTTGGAAAAAGCTGCTGTACACTATTCGAAATTCCTATAGACTCTTGCAAACATATTACATGAAACGGTTTCATCGTTATGTGACATTTCGGTCTCATAATATATTATTATGTAGATGAAAACTTATACATGACAATGCAGTATTGGATAAGAGATACCATGTGATAAGAAATATGTTTCATGTAAGTTAGGCAGTACGTATTGAATTATCTAGATGACAATACAAGTAGATTATAATATCTGACAAACAAATATCATACCAATCAACTTTCATATACGTTCAAGAATGTAGTTTTCTTTTCTAATCATGTAAAGTTAAACAAATTATTGGAGAATGAAAAAATACAAAATCTTGAATTTTTCTCTATAACGAAGTATTTATAAATGAACGAGATACAAGATTAACTTAAAAACAAGAAATAAAATAAGTCTTAATTAGACAATTAAACCTAAATCCATAAAAGTAACCTAACCAAGGTATTATCTCCTCTCAAAAAAGATATTAAGAAATAATCCCATAAAAACAACAAAAAAGAGGAAATGGGCTGCGACTAACCAAACTATTACAGAAAAGCCAATTAGGCCCATTATACTCATATTGAATAAATATAATTGACACGCGCAACCGATAAAACTACAGCAAGTGGCGTGTTGGGCATATCGTTTCTCAGCAACGTTTTCAGAAGTCTCGGGTTCGAGCTCTGGCAGCTCCTCTTTCTTCGGCTTCTCCTTTATTTTTTAAATTTTCAACCAGGTACGTACGTCTGTTTACTTTTTTAATTTCAGTCAGTAAATTCTGATTTTTATTTCTAAATTTCTAATTTTCTAAATTCTACGTGTAAAATTGAATAATCAATTGGGGATGATTCTGTTAAAATTAGGGTTTAATTGTTCCAGTGAAATTTTTCTGATCAAACAATCTCTTAACGATTTTTGAACAATTTTTAAATTATGGCTTTCTGCAATTTTGTAATTTCTCTCAGAGTGCGCCCCTCCGCCGTTACGATCAATCAACACGATGAAATCCGCCAACGTCAAAACCCTAGATTTCACCAGGCAGCCCTTTATCGAGCCCGATACGCACCGTACGGTAAAGGAACTGAAATTTACCGTTATGTCCCCGGCGGAGATTATGAAACTGGCGGAAGTTCAAATCTACATTGGCGCGTATTACAATTCCGGTTGGAAACCCATCGAAGGCGGCTTACTGGACCCGCGGCTCGGCCCGGCGAGCAAGCGGTTAATCTGCGCCACTTGTGGCGGGAACCACGTCGAGTGCCCGGGGCATTTTGGGTATTTGGCCCTCGCACTCCCCGTCTACAACGTCGGGTATCTGGGCACGGTTGTGAACGTCCTGAAGTGCATCTGCAAGAATTGTTCTGGGTTTCTACTGAAGGACGAAATGCGGGTGGAGTATTTGAGGAAGATGAGGAATCTGAAGGATCCTATGAAAAAAATCGAACTGATGAAAATTGTGGTGAAGAAATGTACTGCATTGTGTGCCGGTAATCGGCGGGCGGAGTGCTGGAAATGCGGGTATGTGAACGGGACGGTGAAGAAGGCGGTTGGGATGATCGGTATTCTTCACGACCGTTCGAAATTTGAAGATGTGATGGATGAGTTGAGAAAAACAATGGCGGAGACTAAAGTCTCCGCAGCGGGGTTGAGCGTGGAAGCTATGTTAGACCCCGCAAAAGTTTTCACTTTGTTGAAAGAGATGAGCGATGAGGATTGTGAGGTGCTTTATTTGTCTACTAGACCGGAGAATCTCTTGATAACCAACATTCTGGTGCCGCCTACTGTGATTCGCCCTTCGGTTTTGGTTGGGGGAGAAGTGAGCAACGAGAATGACATTACGGTGAGGTTGAAGCAGATCATTCAGTCGAATGCGCGCCTTACGCGCGATTTGTTTGATTTGAGGCTGGGGTATGCCCCCGGGGTTAAGCGGAGTTGGGATGAACTTCAGGTTGAGGTTGCGCAGTACATAAATAGTGAGGTTCGTGTGCCTTTCACAATGCAAGGTGGGAATCCGTTGAACGGTTTTGTGCAGCGGCTCAAGGGGAAGCAAGGGCGTTTTCGCGGGAATTTGTCTGCGAAACGTGTGGAATATACTGGAAGAAGTGTTATATCTCCTGACCCTAATCTGAAAATCAATGAGGTTGGAGTCCCCATTGAAATGGCTCAAATCTTAACGTACCCCGAACGGGTTACATGTCATAATATTGAGAAGTTGAGGAAGTGTGTGAGTAATGGACCTCATAAGTACCCCGGTGCCAGATCCTTACATCGTGATGGTGAAGAATTCTCCTTGGCGATTACGAGGATCAGTAAAAATCTGGCTGATGGACTCCAATACGGTGACATAGTTGGACGCCATCTACAAGACGGTGACATTCTTCTTTTCAACAGACAACCAAGCTTGCATAGGATGTCTTTCATGTCTCATCGGGCTAAGGTTATGCCTTGGAGGACGCTGAGGTTTAATGAATCTGTTTGCAATCCGTATAATGCTGATTTTGACGGCGATGAGATGAACATTCATGTCCCGCAAACAGAGGAGGCGCGGGCAGAGGCTGCTTTGTTGTTAGGGGTGGAAAACAATTTGTACACACCCAAAAATGGGGAGATCTTGGTTGCTTCAACTCAAGATTTTCTGACATCCTCTTTCCTTATAACGAGGAAGGACACATTTTATGACCGTTCATCATTTTCACTCATGTGTTCATATATGGGAAGTGGCATGGATCCAGTTGATCTTCCAACACCTGCCGTGATTAAACCAGTAGAGCTGTGGACAGGAAAGCAATTGTTTAGTGTTCTCGTACGCCCAAATGCAAATGTGAGAGTCTATCTGAATCTAACTGTCACGGAGAAGTCCTACACCAGCACCAAGACCGAAGATGGGAGAGAAATTGAAGCAATGTGCCCGAATGATGGGTTTGTCTATTTTCGTAACAGTGTGCTCATAGCCGGGCAACTTGGGAAGGCTACATTGGGAAATGGCAACAAGAATGGACTTTACTCTGTTCTTCTCAGAGACTATAAACCTCACGCAGCTGCTGCTTGCATGAATCGCTTAGCTAAGTTAAGCGCACAATGGATTGGTAACCACGGATTCTCAATTGGGATAAGCGATGTTCAGCCAAGTGGCAATTTGCGCGAAGAGAAAGAGAAGATAATTAAAGAAGGCTATGAAAAATGTTATGGCCAGATAAAGTTGTTTAATGAAGGGCAGCTCCAACTTATACCGGGTTCTGATGCAGCACAGTCGCTTGAGTCGGGGATAACTAGTGTATTGAACAACATCAGAGATCAAACCGGAAAGTTGTGTATGCAAAAGCTGCATTGGAGAAATAGTCCCTTGATCATGTCCCAGTGTGGTTCTAAAGGATCTGCCATCAATATCAGCCAGATGGTTGCTTGTGTTGGCCAGCAATCGGTTGGTGGTTGTCGTGCCCCCAACGGGTTCATAGACCGAAGCCTTCCACACTTCCCTAGAGGTGTAAAAACCCCTGCCGCTAAAGGGTTTGTTGCTAGCTCATTTTACAGCGGCTTGAGTCCTACAGAGTTTTTCTTCCATACAATGGGAGGGCGAGAGGGGCTTGTGGATACAGCTGTGAAAACAGCTGACACTGGGTACCTGAGTCGTAGATTGACCAAAGTTATGGAGGATCTGTGTGTTCAGTATGATAAAACCGTGAGAAATGCGAGTGGATGTATACTTCAGTTCTGTTATGGAGATGATGGGATGGATCCTGCAGTGATGGAAGGAAAAGATGGAGCTCCGTTGGACTTGCCCCGGTTGTTTCTGAAAGCGAAAGCCACATGTCCTGCCGGCAAAAATGAGTACGTGTCTCCTGATCAAGTGTCTGAAATAGTGAGAAGAAGGCTTTCTGAACCAGATATGACTCCTGAGGCCGGGTGCTCTGCCGGTTTCAAAACTTCTTTGGAAGAATTTTTGGATGAGTATGTAGAATCATTCAGAAAAAAACATGAGATATTTATGTTTGATGATGATCAAATCCCTGCTTGGAAGGAGAAGATTGTGCAAAATATCGCGGGTGTTACTTCTAGACAGTTGGAGGTTTTTCTTGATACTTGCATTTCACGTTACCATTCGAAGAAGATTGAAGGTGGAACAGCAATTGGAATAATCGGAGCTCAAAGTATTTGCGAGCCTGCGACGCAGATGACACTGAAAACTTTCCACTTTGCTGGAGTTGCAAGCATGAACATTACACTCGGAGTCCCCCGAATCAAGGAAATATTAGACGCGGTGAAGAACATCCACACGCCAATCATCACTGCGGCACTCGAATGTGATACTAACGAAAAATCTGCAAGGGTGGTAGCAGGGCGGATTGAGAGAACAAGTCTCGGGCAGATTGCTGAGAGTATACAGATTGTGATGACTGCAAGATCAGCATCTATAGTGATCACGCTCGATATGTCCATGATTCAAGATGCGCGCTTGTCCGTGGATGCCAATGTGGTGAAAGAATCGATTTTACAAATTCGGGGAATCAACTAAAGTCAGAAAATATCAAGGTTTTGGATGTCAGAAAATTGGAAGTTTTTCCTGTAGAGACTGACAGGAACAAACTTTATTTTCGCCTTCACAGCTTGAAAAACATGCTCCCATCAATCACAGTAAGGGGCATAAACACAGTCAAGCGTCGTGATTAACAACGAAAAAGAAGCGAAAACAAATCACAAGAAGTACAAGCTGTTCGCCGAAGGCAGAGGGCTTCTAGAAGTGCTGGGGACTGAAGGAGTAGACGGATGCAGAACCACAAGCAATGACGTTCTGGAAGTGCAGAGGACGCTTGGGATCGAAGCGGCGCGAGTCTGCATCATTGAGGAGATAAAGAGCACGATGAAACAACATGGGATGAACATAGACTGCCGGCACATGATCTGCGTGGGGGATGTGATGACATACATGGGGGAAGTGCTTGGGCTGACGCGATTTGGAGCGAAGAAAATGGAGAAGAGTGTGATTGCATTGGCGTCGTTCGAGCAGGTGGCGGATCATCTGTTCAATGGCTGTGTGAATGGGAGAGTTGACGCGGTTAGAGGAGTGAGTGAGTGCATAATTATGGGTGTGCCAATTCGGGTTGGGACTGGAATGTTCAACATTAGAGAGGGAGGATTTTCTGGTTCGGGAGCTCATGATTCAAATGTCGAACTGCACTATGGGCCAGGCTAGGTGGTTCCAATCACTTGAGTTGAAGAAAGAATGATGAATTTATGATTTTGTAGAACATCTCATTTCTGTTTTTGGGTAATTTGAATTTTCTTTCTGTGTTTTTTTTTTTTTTTTTGGTAGCTTACATGTTCGTTTGGTAACCAATTCATTTTCCTGTTTATAGTTTTCAATTTCTTTTATTGTTTTTTTAGTTTTTTGAAAGGGAAAATTAGAAGGCCCTACATAATTTCTATAGTTGTTAGATTAAGCATTCATCCCTTTTAAAGATTTGATTAAGGTGCTTCAATCAATTTCCACCTCAATAATTTTCTATTTATTTAATTTCCATGTCATTAATTTAAATGCATTTATATAGAGGTATAAGGTAGCTTATCAACTAATTGTCTATAATATAGGAATTTAATTTCCTCAATCCCCTTATGCGCATTAAATGACATTTTTTTAATAAAATAAAATAAAAAATTAATTAACTAATTCCTCATTTCCTTATTATTAGTATTTAAAGAAAATACTCTTTCTATTAAAATTGTATCAATAAAAAGTCTTCAATACATATTTTTTTTCATGTATAGATATATAAAAAATATACTTAAAACTTATGGTACATTTGAGAACAAAAGTATCGACTTTTGGTACGTTTAGATTTCAAATGTACCGAGAAACCAAATGTACCAAAAATTCAAATGTACCATAAAACCAAATGTACCCATTGTTATGTAACTTTTTTGGTACGTTTAGTTTTCAAATATTCTGAGAAACCAAATGTAACAAAATTTCAAATGTACCATAAAACCAAATGTGCCCATTGTCAAGTAATCATGTTGGTACGTTTAGATTCTCATTGTACCAAAAGACCAAATGAACAAAAAATCTCAAATGTACCACAAAACCAAATGTCTCTATTAGATAACCCTTTTGGTACATTTATATTCCAAATGTACCAAGAAATACAAAAAATCAAATCCACTATAAAACTAAATGTGTCCATATTATAGGTAACTAGACGTAGCTATATTATCAAACAAATCTTTACTATGTGTTGGGTCTTCTAAATAATAAAATTTGACAATTTTTTATTATAAATATTCTACTATATTCACAAAAAAAAAGTAAATATTATAACAAACAATTAAAAAAATGCATAGAGATGGATAATAAATGCATAAATATAGGGATAATAGGAAAAGAAAAAAAAAGCAAACGAAATGCCCAGGAGATGGGTAATAAATGCATAAATATAGGGATAATAGAGATAATAGGAACTAAAATTAATAACCAAAATTTTAGGAAAATGTTTGATCAAATTTTCAAAAGGAGTGTATGTTTAGTCTAAAAAATTAAAAAACGAGGACCTATATCAAATGCACACATTACGGTTAATTGTTGCATTCTCTTTTGGAGATGAACTTATCAGTTATTCACCAATTTGTTTACAACATATTGTTATCGTAAATATCATCAGTACAAAAAATTATTCAATTTAGTCATCTAAATGTATCTGTTAAAGTATCATTATCATAGCAAGCGTCAAGTTCATCGAATGTAATTATTACATGAACTTGAATTGAACATATCAATTATCAAGTCCTATGAATGTAATTATTAATGTAGTTATTAATGTAATATTGTACTATATAAGTGCAAAAGCACATATGATTCAATCAAGGCAATATATTTCAACGGTTCATCATAAGGGTGTGTTTTGGAAGTATTAGATTGTGTTTTGGAAGTATTAGATTGGAAATAGCGTTTGTATTTTTCGTTCTGAACTTTCAGAATTAGATTGTAATTTTTAAATTCAAATTTTTGGCATATTCAAACAAATTGGAATTAGAGTAATCTCGAAAATTTTGAAACAAAAATTTGAGATTCATACATTTAGTGAGCCTTTTTTTTTTTCTTTTATGTTGAAATAATGTACATTTAGTGAGTTTTTGAATATCCTTTAATTTTTTCCATACATGCAATTCATTGTTCTTTCTTAATAAGTGGTATATTATGCTTATGTATAAATTCAATTCTTTTGGTGTATACTAGTATATTTATTCTTTTTTAATATATAACTAATGTTTAATATTAAAATAATGAACAAAATGTATCAAAACTAATATTAACCTACAAGTTGATTACAAAATATATAATTTGATAAATAACTATAAACAATCAAAATATTTTGGAAGTTTTTTTATCAGAATAAGTTCTCAACACTTCAAAAAAATATTAGGATTGGAAATTCGAAGTTCTTGAAATCTCTAAATGCATTCCAATTCACGTTACAATTTTTGTAAAATATGCGGATTCGAAAATTCTATTGTCGGAATCAAAAATACTATTCAACCTTACATCCCTAGTTCATCATAATATGTCACTTAGTACTTATAATGTTGATTTATTTGATACATTTGAATGACTAAACGACAACCAATTTGATAAATATTTATGTGGATGATCTTCGAATGAAGATTAAGAGGAACTATTCAGATTATTAAAATTTCATAACAAAAATACGTTATTTGTGAAAAAAGAATGCAAGTATTATCCATTTATACCAGCTCGATTTCAACTTATTTGGTGTAAGTAAACTTGTCATATTCATTGCCACACAAATTTGCCTACCATGTGGATGCGCAGAGACAAGTAGCTTCATAGACTCATGGACTTGTCTCCTTGTAAAGAACTGTTGCATAATTAGTTAAGCGCATTCGTCTCGTATTTTAGGTTCTTTATATTTGATTCTCTTCTTGTCGTCGCATGTGTATATATAATCAGTGTTCTAAAAAACGTCTTAGGCGCCGCCTAGGCACTGGGCGCCTAGCAACCGAGGCATTTTTGGGCAAATCGCACGAAAAAATCGGGTTGGGCCTAGGCAGGCTAGGCGGTCTTAGGAGGTTTTTTATTTATTTTTTTTTATTAATTGCGTGTTTTTTTCTTTTTTGGTTTCATGGTGGTATACTTATGGAAATTGTGTATCTAATTTGCAAATGATGGATTCCAATACTTATGGAAATAGTGTACCTAATTTGCATTTTATCATTATTTTATTATCCATACAAGTATATATATTTTTTTAGGTGTTAATATGCACTTATTTACAAGATATACAAGAAATTTACCTAAATCCGCCTAGCCGCTTAGGCGCTATGCGCTAACCCGCCACCCGACTAGCGCCTAGCGTTTTTTAGAACCTTGATATAATATAATTGTATAACTAGAAGTCAAACTTAACATTCTGTAGTCAAATCACAAATCCAGCTGGCAACTAGTGTTGTCATATCACAATTAATATGAACTCTTGGCTTTGTTCGGAACTTGTATATGTATAGTTATACTGCACAAACCTTTGTGAACCAAAGGAGGAGGAGCCGCCTCCATTGACGCCCCCACACGGCGGCTACTTTGTCACGATGCACCGTCACAGGAGGAGCCACCTCCATTGACGTCCCCACACGGTGGCTACTTTGTCACGATGTCAGTCACAATATTAGAGATGCTTATTATCATCATGCATGCATGCTTTCAATACGTTGTCTATACCATACGGACAATGCTCGAATGGGACTTGTGGCCCATGTCGATGGTACCAATATTGGTCAGTCGAACACATGCGCGTGCCGGTGACTCAAGTTATTAGAAGTAAGAGTTATAATTATTTCATGCATGTGTGAGCGATATAATGATCAGTGTATAACTTTTTATACATAAATGACTGATGTTAACATAATTCTTCACGAAATACAATGGTTTATATACGAAAGTCGGGTCCTTATATTTTAGACTTTGCGGGTCGTAATCATAGTGCTTGTTTTCTAGGGTTAATGGTGATAGCTAACCTAGCTTAGAGGGCAATAACATGCAGTACCCTATTGACTTAAATAGGCATGTCTTGGTGCATGACTCAATTAATCATCCAAAAAATTAAAGGACAGAAGAACAAGGGCGGTCACCGTGGGATGGTGATAGATAAACATTTTACAATAGTACATACCAGGGTTGTCTCTGACATTTTAGACTATATGCGAACTTAATAAAAAGGTCCTCCTTATTTGAAAAAAATTATTTTTCTGAACAATTTATTCATGCAAAATTCAACAATAAATATTCAAACTTAATTGAAATCAACATCTCATTTAAATAATCTCCAACTGCCATGAAATTATGATTTATGGTTCATCTATGAAAAAAAAGGAATGCGACTAAAACACAAATATGAAAATATGTTTGTATTTGTGGAAGAATGTAATACACATGTTTGTTTTTTATTATTAAATAAAGTAATACACAAGTTTTTTTATTGCTAAAGAAATGTTTAAGTAGAAGCTCTACTTAATTAATATAGATAATATCATAATATGATGATGATTTTCTTTTTAATAATTTTTTTTTGTTATAAAATACATACATATGTGATATATAGAAAGATCATAATTTTGGGCTCCTCAAAAATTTAAAACCCTGTACCATTGCCCTTGTGTACACTCTCAACGCCGGCTCTGGTACGTACTCGACTAGTGTTTCTGCAAATTGCTCCCATCCCATTCCATGCACTGCTTGATTGATTCGAACGCGTAGAATTTAAATATTAATAGGATGTAGATTTTGACATTCTGTCGACTCAAGTGGCCACTCCTGTCCTGCTCTGCTATGCTCGATTTGGATTTGACGTTAGAATTTATATATATATATATATATATATATATATATAATATATTGTATATCATATATGAATATGTGCTGTGTTCATCGAAGACTTTGACTCAGGAAATATCATAATTTATACGAAAAGATTGGATTTTTATAATAAAAAATTTAATATAAGCCACATGTTTGTAATAATTCCCGAAAAGACAGATCAAGCTAATCTGCTCTCTTCCTCCGAGTTAAGTCACACGCGACACAAAATCTTTTGCACTTAAAATAAATATAATTGCTATATAAATTTTAATACGCATTGACTTGTTTTTATAATTTATTCACATACTATTCTTTATATATTATTTTTTACCTTTTTGGACAAATCAACAAGAATCAGCCACACTTTTCACCTAGAAAAGGAATAAAAAAATGAAACAAGAATTTATACAATTTTTTT